GATGGTTTTCATTTGAACACTCTTATATATATATATATATGTATATATATATATGTATATATATATATATGTATATATATACACACATATATATATATATATATGTATATATAGGGATTAGTTCAAATACTAACCAAGATTTTTGTGTTAACTTTATTAACCAAGCTCAACCAATCATATTCCATCTTTTCTTTATGTTCACATATAACTCATATATTAATGACAAGGGTAATTAAGTAATTTGTCATTTATGTAACTCCCAAATAATTAATTGGGAGTTGCAGATCTAAAAATCTTAATAATTGATGATTATATAATATTGATATCTTTTTATACGTGATCATGTTTTGTAATTTTGATTTATTATATCTATAATGATATTGATTTTGTAATTGTTAAAGAATTTCCGATTATAAAGATTTCGATATCGTCCGAGTAATATGGATAAACCTATTGGAAAACAGATCGACAACAATGAGAATGAAAAGGTTAAAATCGTCTACGACTAAAATCAGAATTCAAATTCATATGTAATTGTTAAAGAAATGTTCACAAGTGTTCATATTGTGTTCAYATGTACACTAGCTGCATATTTGAACCAACTATATATATATATATACTCCAAATACGTTTCTTTACAAATATCAGGAAAAAAATGAGCATCTAAAAACCTAAAATAGAACCAAAAAACTATAAAGGTGATGCAAATTTTGATTACAATATTTGTTTTGTTAGGCAAAAATTAATTAATTTATGATTTACTAAATTTAATCGAACATTTATATTAATTATAAAAACTGAAGTGTATCAGTTGTTTTCTTTTGGCTTTTGTGACTTTGTCATTAAAAAAATAGTAGAATATATCAATACCATCAATAAAAAGGTTAATATTATAATAAATTAATATAAAATACAACATGCGGATCACACAGGGCTAAATAGGCAAAGACCAAACGAGTCGCCATCAATTTACGAAAAGACGTAATGACTTAAACCTTATGAGAATATTAATGATGTTTATTTAATGTAAAAATTAAACTTATACTTATTTATTGTATAGATAATAAAAATATATTATATAATTTAGATAAAATTTTTAATTTAATTATTAAATATATTTTTGAAACTTATTAATTAATTAGGATATATGAGGTAGACCATTTTTATTTTTATTCACATTATATGGAATGGTTATGTAAAATCATAAATAACAGATTTTTCTAGAATTTGTTTTGACAAATCCAAGTATTTTATGTATATAATAACCAATTTGAAATTCTTTTAATCAATATATTATGTTTTTTTAATTTTTTTTACCATCTTCTTTGTATTAGTTAATATATCATATTATTTGAAATTTGTTTTAATTATATTTTAAAATATTATAATTAATTAATTTTTGAAAATGCTATTTTTAATTATTTTATATTCTTATCAGTTAGTTTTATCAAAATGATTTGTTAATAAGCTAGCCTATCAGCTACCCGCCTGTTTATAAGCTAACAGTTAACTTATCAGTTGTCAAGTAGTTGTACTAACTTATGAGCTAGCTTGACAAAGATAGTCTAAAACAGACAACCTAATATGGTTCCTAGAAAGAATACAATAATTGATTTAAATTCTAGTTGACTATGTAAATATATAAAGAAATCTACATAACGATAGTTTATATAAATACTTCAAAACTTCATACATAGCAGTAGTTGTGTGTTTGTGAATTAATTAATAAATAAATGGCACATACACACAAAACTTCACAATGAGAGTTTATATAAAATTTCATAACGATAGTTTGTATAGAAATCTATTTTATAGATTACATTTATTTTTTCAATATCAATAATAATTATCATGTCAATAAAATATATAAAAAACCAACAGAAATATTATTTCACACCAACTTCTATAAAAATAACAAAGAATGAGGTTATTAGAATAACTCAAAACTCTCTCTAATAATGGTTCTTTTAAGAGTAAGAAGAAAAGTTAGTTCAAGTGTCGGTCCTTAGCACTAGAGAGAGAATTAGAGGTCTCTCATGCCTTAGGATCGGAACCTGAATGATAGTACTAATGTGGAAGGATCAAATGTGGCGATAAAATAAAAGAATTGAAGAGGGATGATATTGAATGATGTTGACTTGGTTTAGAAGACTTGGTGCGGTAAACCCACGGCTCCTAATATCTCTCAAGGGTGGTTGAGTAGGAGTTAAACTCTGGTGATGGATATAATCATAAAGGGCAAGTATCATCACCTATTCTCCTTGGTTTTCTTTTGAGAAGTAGAAGCAATGTCACATTAAGTCCAACCAATGAAGCACGTAAAGAAAATGTTGGTGTTCATATAAGCCCAAGAACAAGCCTATTATGCAGAAAGTTTTGGAGAAGAAACCATCGTTTAAGGTATGATTCTATACAAATATTTTATGTTAATATAGGTTCAGTATCATGAGATGTTAAGGAATGAATTAGTGGATGAATGAATGTTGAGAAATAGACCTTAAGCCCATGGTAGTAAGCAAAGATGCAATCATTTACGTTGTGAAAAAAATCAATAACTTTCATGTCATCTGTAAAAATCGTAACAAATCGTTCGTTTATCTAAATGAAGTGTGCAATAATTAAGTTTCTGAAAAGCTTGAGATTTACGATTTCTGATCACGTGATAGAAACCTAATTTTGGTTTTAAGTTGGCCAAAATTGTGAGTCTCTCAAGCTCGTCGGATTTTTGACAGCTTAGCGCAAGAATTCTATAAAAATGATATAAAATCAAGTATACCTTCGATCAAGGTGACCCTTGACTTTCTGGAATCATAAGAATTTTATCTAAATGTTATATTTACATATTGTGATCTAAAAAGTTCTGGAGAATAAAGAAATAGTTGGATTTCATAACACGTTCACGTCTAGAATAACTATGGTTGGTTCTAGATGACTTAAAACTTAAGGGTTCATTCGGATAAGAATTATTTGCATGGTATTTGACCTTGTGGGTCTAATATGATATATAGGTGTAGGTTTACAAGAATTATGTGTATTTATGTTTTATTTTATCTGAATGTGCAAAAGGTTATTTAATCTTCTAATATCTTAATTAAATCTATACATATCTTATCAAATTTTATATATAAATATAATCATTTGTCTAATAATTAAACTTATACATAAAATATAAATTTATAAGATGAAAGTTAAAAAAAATAAGAAAAGTGTATATTAAAAATCATTGTAAATGAAAGGAGTATATATGAAACTTTAAACTAAAAGCATTTTCAATAGATTATTTAAAATGGAGAATCAAATGTTAAAATTTCTAAAAAAATTACATTTATCTTCGATAACTTTCCTATGTTAAAGAATTCACCATTGATTATAATATATATTAAAATAGTTCATTTATATATTAAAAAAATATTTCTCTCTCTAAATATTTATCTTTAAAGTTTGGTATTGGTGATTTTAATTGATAATCATTTTTGGTGTTATTTCCATACTTGGAAGAAAAATTATTTTCTTTATTTTGGAAATAATTTTTAACAAGTTTTTAGAATAAAATATTGGCTCAAAATCCTTATTTTTATTCATTTACTTCATTTTAAAAAAGTTGTTGGAGATACTTTAAAATCAATGAGTTGGTGTAACCTCTTTTTGTAATGTTGATCGAGTGACGTAATTAGACCCAAATTTGCAAAGCGTTTAAAGAAGACCCATTTATACGAAGAATGTTGAAAATGTACCCTATTTTACAAATGACTCTAAACCAGGGCCGGCCCTGGCCACGTGCAGCCCGTGCGGCCGCACAGAGCATCAAAGCTTAAAGGGGCATCAAATTATCCTTTATTACTAGTTTTGAGTTTAATAATTTAAGAATTTGACCACTGAACTTTAACTATAAAAACAGGCCCAAGGCTTAGTAGTGATGAATACTGAATGCATATCGTTGGAAAAAGTTGGAAAAGTTTTTGTTTGTATAAAGTTGTTTGTATGAATTAATCTGTTTGTATAAGTTGAAAAAGTTTTTGTTTGGAAGAGTTTTTTCATAAATGTAAAGAGCGTTTTTTTAGTTGAAAGAAACATGTTTGGCAAAAAAAATTGTTTTCTATAAAGTTCCCCCTAGAAGTTTAATGGATAAGTCACTTTCTATATCATTAAGCCACTACGAAACAGTCATGCATAGTTGAGAGTTGAGTGAATAAGTTGTTAGTTCCATTAAACTTATTAAGCTGCTGACAGATAAACGTTTAGCCTTTAGTCGTCAGACCTGTAACTTTTAAGTTTTTACTTTTTGCTTACTATGACAACAATTTGGATCTAATTTACTATTTTATTTAAAAACTAATTATAGTTTTCCTTGTCTTTTAAGTTTCATATATTGAAATAAAGTTTTTATTTTGTTAATTTCAATTTGGAAAAGGGAAAACTGGAAAAGAAGAAAACACGATCTTAATCCATAATTTATCATTTTATCATTTTATATTTTGTATTCGGGATTTTGGTTTTTATGTCCCCTCCATTGTATTTTTTTTTAATTATAGTTAATAAAAATCAACATCAGGATGAGGTACTTAGTTTGAATATGTTATAAACTCTTTAAAACATCGCATATTTCATTGTTTTATTGACTTACAAAAATAGGCTTAGGGGCATTTTTTATTATTTTCGCACAGGGCATCAAAAATTTTAGGACCGACCCTGCTCTAAACGGTACTGTGGTTGCTCTAAGTTAGCACACCAACTCGTAACTCACTTTCGATCATTGGACCAAATTCAAGTTTTAAAATAGAATTAAATTATAATAGTATTAAATCAAAATCCCTATAGTTAAGGGAGTAACAGAAAATATCTTCATTAACATATATCATTACAATGTTATATCATGAAACCAGCCGATAACCATTATTAAGGAAAGGGATAATAACATACACAAACAAGGGATTACATATCCAATCATCCATCAAGGCTTCACTCAAGTATATGTATGTCGTATGGTTTACGGAATCTACCTACGGAACCAATAAACACCACTTTTCTCTGCACCTTCATCTGGTTCCACAAAAATACATTCCTTTGTTTCTCTCCAGAAAGCCTTTAGGATCGGTGTATCATCGTACTTGTAGTAGTCACCTAAGATGGGCTTGACAGCATTGGTGGCCTCTACTGTATGGTAATGTGGAATAGTTGAGATCAGATGATGCACCACATGAGCACAAGTTACATCGTGGAAAACAGTGTTTAAAATTCCGTAGTTTCTATCGACCGTGGATAGAGCACCTCTTATCCAATCCCACTCTCTTGAATCGTAGTGAGCAAGGGAAGGATGGCTATGATGCAAAAAAGTGAAGAAGATGAAATGAGCATTCATAACCAGCAAAGGAGCTCCGTAGATGCAAAATAACCATGTTGCACCTGCGGTTGCTGCAACCTTGTAAAGTGCATAGATAGCTACAAGCATTCCAGCATCAGAGAGCCAAACTAGTTTGCGCTCGCTGTCATTGAACAACGGACTTTGTGGGTAAAAGTGGCTTACAAACCCATTATATGGCCTTCCATGAATATTGAAGGTGAAGTACATGGGATAGCTGAGAAGTAACCGGACAAAAGTCATGAACAAGTTGCCGAGTGGGTTGTTGAGAACTTCCGAATACAAGGTATCAGCCTTCCTTTTAGGGATCCATACCTCATCGTATTCCATTGAATTGGTGTGAGCATGGTGGCTACGGTGACTGTATTTGAAAGAAAAGTATGGAGTGAGGAAAGAGGAATGGACGATGAAACCAAGTATGTCATCAAGCCATTGATATTCGCTAAAGCTATGGTGGCCCAAATCATGACCTATGCTCCATATACCCATAAAACTACTACCTTGGCAGAACCAATAAACCGGCCATGCTATGTAGGCAAGGGGTTTAGGGAGAAGAGGAATGTAATTTGATGCGATCTGGTAAAACGTATAGCATATGCAAATATCACGGAAGAGGTAGTAGGAGGAGGTCGTAAGAGATCGCTTGAAGCAATGCGGGGGTATTGCTTTCTTGAGATCACTGATCTCGAATGGAGTTTTTTCTGTGGGAACACGTTTGAGAACATTCTTGTCGTTGATAGCATCATTCATCCGGCCACCGGCTCCCATCTTGTTGTTCCCAAAGAAATGAACCTACAAAATAAGATATCAACACATTAATTCATACATACATTTAGAAAAAGAAATTCTAAGTGAATCTGAAGTACCCAAAAATATATACATACCTGTAAGAAGATGTAATGAGCTGTTTTGCTTCAAAATTAAGTGAAAGTAGTGTAGGTTTTATAGTTGGATTTATGGGACCTACACACTCATCTATTTGCGCATGTAACATCCATCACTTTGTTGTTTTCGTAGAATAATTTCCATTTCAAGTTTGGCGGCTTTTCTGAATATCTAATTATATACATAAAATATGTATATGGTTTGTTTATAAAATTATGGTAATTTTGAGAATTGTTGTATCTTTTGATATTTTACATCATTTTTTTATTAATAACTTGGATTACTGTATTAGTTAACATAAATTTGTTTTATAATATGTTTGTTTCATATATATTTGTTTCATAATGTGTATATTTTTTATGCGTTTGTGAACCAAAATACATACGAAATAAATACATTGTAAAACAAATATATGTAAATTAATATATTAAATTATAGGCTTAGATGGAAACAAATATCTGAAACAAAAATTATGATAATAGTTTTTACATATCATAATATATAAAATTCTAAAACATTAAACTCATGCATAATTATATATAGTTTTATGTTAGTCGTACTCGGTAGTCAATTTTAGTATTATATATGCATGCAACCACTGGTGTTTTGTCGTAACATTTTAGTTTGTGAAAGTCATTCTTGTTTAATTTAATTAATGCATCCAAAAGTTTGGTAGTTAACATCGTCCTGATGATAAAGAATTCAACTTCTAAGTAGTTGTGTAGGATATTAGAGCCAAATAATAAATGCCACAATCTTTTCATTCTACATAACTTCAAAAATACAATTTATTATTTACTGATTGAATGTTTACTTATTTTTTTAATGTGAATAAAATTAACAAAACACATCAAATAAATTCAAAATTATATTTTTAAATGAATTTAAAAAACTAAATTAAGAATTTAGAGTGTGTTTTGGCATAATTCAAAAGGAAATATACGTTAGTCAGGGCTGAATCTTGATTTATTAGCTATACATACATATGTACAACACACCCACAACTGGTATAGGTTTTCATAAAATCTTGCCGAACTTAGAAGCAAACTAACGAATCTTTATAGCAGAAAATATTGAACATTCACAACAAAACACTGAACTTTTGTAAGACTAAACGTTCACATGAAAAAAGATCAGACATTCATATAAAAGAACACAACAAATCTTCATAAAGAAAACCGCAAGAAACATTCTTTAGTATAGAAGAAAATTTTAATATGTGAGAAAATTGGTTTATAAGGCACAAGATTTTAAATCTTTGGAAGTGAAGTCAAACATGTTCGTTAGATGAAATTGAATCTTTCAAAATGCTTCAACATTTTGTTAAGCGATGAACATCATTATCGCTTTTTCTTTTTATAAATTGATTCTTGATGACATGGACATTTCTAAGCAACTAAAGAATTATTGAAAACATTTATTATCCAACTAAGTTAAAATATGTTTGATTTTATATATATATGAGAGCGTTCAAATAAAAACCATTCAATTTGTAAAAACCGTGAAAACCTCATTCAACCAATCATAATTTTTCATTTTGTTCATTTTTTTGTAATTATGAGATTGATTAACCATTTTTATTGTGGAGGGTGTTAATAATGGATATTATCATCTTCATTATTTTAATTTTAGAGAAATACATGAAACAGATTCATTAAAATTTCATTAAATATTATATGAAACAATTTCATAACAATATATGAAACAAATTCATCAAAAAAAAGTATTATATGAAACAATTTTACAAGATTAAACAATTTCATGAAAAAAATTCATAAGATTAAACAATGAAATCGACGTATGAGGATGGTTTTCATTTGATCGCTTATATATATATATATATATATATATACACACACACACACACACATTCAAACGAGAAGTTAACTATTTATGATTGTAGATACCTTTCTGCATGTGAAGCTTCATGGCGTATTTTTGGGTACTATGTTCATTACGGGACTCCTTCTGTTTTAAGACTTCCTTTCCAACAAGTGGTATTTGGTACTGAAGATGATATTGAAAATATCCTAAACAGACCATCTGTGGCGTCCTCAATGGTCTTACCTTGGATGAATTTTAATCCAATTTATCAAGAAGCACGAGAACTCACTTACGTTGAATTCCCTAAAAAGTTTGTGTGAAAATTGGAGGAGCGACGTTAGGATCGAAGGAAAAAAGGCTTCTCAATTGGACGGATTCATTCAGTTTCTCCTACTCTATGAGAAACATATTATTTAAGAATTCTTTTGAATAAAGTGAAAGGTCCTAAATCATTCGAAGACATTCGTATAGTAAATGGAAAAATATTTCTTACTTTTAGAGGTGCATGTTATGCTCTTGGACTTTTAGAGATGACAAGGAATATATTGATGTCATTGAAGAAGAAAATTTAACCGCATCTGGTTTTTATCTACACTTCTTATTTGTAACCATGCTGATTTCAAACAGTCTATCTAGACCTGAGTTTGTTTGGCAAAAAACATGGCAATACTTAGCAGATGGCATTCTCTACAATCAACGAATTGTTTTAAAGTCTCCATGTATGTTAATTGTATATCTTAAGTATAGATTTATACAAGTATTATCTAAATTCTAAATAATTTATTGTATTTGTATTTGTTAACTATTATGTTCTTGATCCTTAAATTGTATTTAAGTTTAATTTTATGTATTAATTGTTTACATTTATATTATATTTTTACAGATTTATCTCTCAATGAAGAACAAGTGAAGAACCTAACATTGTTTGAAATTGAAAAGATTTTGCTCCGTAACTATTCCATCCTGAGAAATTATCCTGATAATGATTGTCTTGAATCTTCAAACAACCGTTTGATTACGGAAGAGCTAGATTATAACCATCATAATTTACGTGATGAGTTCCAGAGGCTTGTAACTGCTTTTAACAAATGAGCAAAAAGGTATTTATGACGAAATCATGACCGCTGTTGAAAAGAACAAAGGTGGTGTGTTTTTTGTTTATGGGCATGGCGGAACAAGTAAAACATTCATATGGAAGACATTGGCTGCAACAATAAGATCTAAAGAAGAAATTGTTTTAAACGTCGCTTCTAGTGGTATTGCTTCTTTACTTCTTACTGGTGGCAGGACGACATACTCTCGCTTTCAAATCTCTCTCATTATCAATGAAGATTCTCTTTGTCACATAAAGCCAGACAATGATGTTGTGAAGTTAATAAAAAAAGACTACTTTGATAATATAGAATGAGGCACCAATAGTTCATAAGCATGCATTTGAAGCATTGGATAGAAGTATGAACGATATTTTCAATAGTCGACGCATTAGTGACTCACAAATGCTTTTTGGTGGCAAGGTAATTGTTTTTGGAGGAGATTTCAGACAAATTCTGCCGATTATTCCCAACGCAAGTAGACAAGACATTGTAAATGCGTCGTTAAGCTCATCTTACATTTGAGAAAAATGCAAAGTCCTAAAGTTAATTAAGAACATGAAGCTAACTGCAAACAGTGAATATTCTGAAATTGAACAAAACATGGGATTTTGCAAACTGAATTTTGGACTTAGGAGAAGGCAAAGTTGGAGGTGATAATGATGGTGAGGCAGTTATTGAGATACCTCATGATCTTTTCATTACTGATTCAGTCGATCCTATATCTGCATTAATACAATTTGTCCATCCCTTAGTTCTTGAAAACATCAACAATTCATCTTTTTTTCAAGAAAGGGCAATACTTGCACCAAAACATGAAGTCGTTCAAGAAATAAATGATTGTTTGCTATCATTGTTCCCAGGAGATGAAAAGGAGTACTTAAGTTCAGATACACTATGTGAATCAGAGCAACTTCACGTTCAGTTTGATAAAACTTTGTACTCTCCTAATGTCTTAAATGGTCTTAAATTATCATGGATACCAAACCATAAGATTTTACTAAAAGTTTGTGTTTCTATCATGTTACTAAGGAATATTGATCAGAAATTTGGATTATGTAATGGAACTAGACTACAGGTGTTATCATTGGGAAATCGGGTGATAGAAGCACAAATTATATCTGGAAGCAATATTGGAAGCCGGACATTCATCCCAAGAATGTCTTTGACACCTATAGATGAAAGGATTCCATTCAAATTTTGAAGGAGACAAATTTCAATTGATGTATGTTTTGCCATGATTATAAATAAAAGCCAAGGACAATCATTATCAAAAATTGGTTTATTTCTAAGACAACCGCTCTTCACCCATGATCAGTTATATGTTGTTTTATCTAGAGTTAAAAGCAAACAAGGTTTGAAAGTATTAATTATGGATGATAATGGTATTATTGGCAGTAGAACAACGAATGTTATATATAAAGAAGTGTTTAGTAATCTATGATACATGGTTGTTATTCTATTAATATTTTAACTACTTGCCTTCACCTAATTTCTTTTACATTTTGTTATAAATTTTGTTTTACAAGCTTTTAATATTTACTCATGTTATTATAGATTCTTTGTAAAATGCATACTGCTTTCATTTAATTCTTGCAAAATACTCAGTGTAATGCACGGGTGGGAAGGAGACTAAGCGGCTCTGCATGTACTATGCAGAAGCTCTGTGTCTGGAGTGAAGCTCAAAATCAAGCACTTAACCTTTTTGGCGCTTAAGCCTTGATCTTCCTTGGAATACAGCACGGGCTCCTTACATGAGATACTTAACTCTTGAGTAAGAGCTCTGTCCCTTGATGTCTTCTGCATGAGAGATGTTGTTCCAGCCCGGTTGAAAAGACTAAGTCCTAAAGACTACAATAAAAGACTTCTTACTTACACTTTTACAAGATGTGGTCTAAAAATCTACCCCTAAGTGTAAATAAGACAAACTCTTACAGGAATGAAAATACGAGTCTCATTGAAGCTCTACATGTAATATGCAGAGGCTCTGTATCTGGAGTGAATCTCTGCATCAAGCACTTAACCTTTTTGGCACTCAAGCCTTGCTGTTCCTTGGAATACAGCATGGGATCTGTAATTAAGACAGACTCTTACTTATACTTTTACAAAA